TGATGGTGCATTAAAACCAAACGTTGTGTTAGGCTGAACTGCGAAACTGACATCTAAACTGTATCATAGTCTTAAAACAACATTTGTAATAATGAAGCATTCATTGTTCTCCTTAAAAACACAAGGCAGCTGGGACCAGCAGTTGGCATAATGGCTATGTCGCTGGACTCCCATGTAGTCCACTATGGTTCGAGTCCTGGACCCGGTGGCTTAAACTCAAGCTGGGCGCGTGTGCATGTGTGCCCAAGATCCCAAGAGGAGAATGGAGGGAAAGGTATTGCAGCATGGCCATCCCCCTTGGGGGGTGATCCTCGTTTTCTGTCTCTCTGGTTACGTTGCTGGACTCCCATGTAGTTGACTGTGGTTCAAGTCCCAAACCTGGTGGTTTGCATGTGTGTGTGCGTGCCCAAGATCTTTAAGAGGAGAATGGAGAAGGGACTGCGGCGTGCCATCCCCCTGGGGGTGGGGGGTGATTTCTTGCTTTCTGTCTCTCTCTGTCTTTCTGGAGACCACATGTACCCTGTAGCAAAAACGTCTAAAAACAAAACAAAACAAAACAAAACAAAACACTCTCCAGAAGTCAGATGATGGCACACAGTAACATAACCGGACCCAAGTGGAAAGGTCTCCATGTGAAAACTGAAGCCACTCTGTACACGGCAGGTATGCAGGTGTAGGGAGTGGATCGTGGCACAAGGATTTATTTTTCTTTTTTACAAAGGACAAACACCATACTGAAGTAAGTGAGGTTCTGGGGCGAAGTATAGCATGAAGACCCTGGTGAAGGTGCACTCTGTCTCTCTCATGAAATAAGTGAAAGCTTAACAACTGTGGAGTGTCCACTCTAGGCAGTTAGGAGACGAGTGAGCTACTCTGTGAGCCTGTAGCCATCTTGAACCTCTCCAGTTCAGTTGGCTTTTTCTTCTACAAAAGGAGGTGAGGAGTGACTTTCTAGTACAAAGCATGAGGTCCAATCCCTCCAGGATTCCTAGTCCAGATGATTTAGAGCCATGCCAAATCTTTAAAGAGCTCCGAGTTAAGACGACGTGGCTTGTAAATTACTTGACTACATAGAGTGTGGCTGGGTTTTAGCTTATAGAATGTTCAGGAACACTTGAAAGAGAGGAACTGATGAAGCCTAGAAAGCCCTAGATGCCAGGAGTCTTCTGCCATTTTGTGTCTCCAGGGGATAATCATTGGTGACTCTCAGTGTGAAATGAGTCCGTGTCTGTGAACTGCATGGATCGCTAATTGTTTCTACTTGGACGAAGGGCCTCTGCAAAATGACTCATCCATGCACCGTATCATTCAAATTATGTCAACTTGGTTAATTCAGAACTACATGTCCCAGAATTCCCTTCTTTGGTAGTTTCTATCACAACTAGCTCTATGATGGGCTGGTGTGAGCTTTGAAAGGCAACAGTGAAGCAAAGGCCACTCTCTCTCAAGGTCATCTCATCAAATGTGGCAAGACACAGAGCTGACTGGCAGCTCTAGCTTGTCCTCCTCCATCTCACTTATAGCTCTTCTTCCCAGTAAGGCTGACCTAGGGTGCCCCAAGCCCACTCCCAAGACCCACCGAGGGGTCAGCTCCCCCACACCACCACTGAGGCCCTCTGGCAGCTGACTATGCTCTGTTTCTCAGATAAATGGGTAACTCCTCTGGATCCACACTTTCTTTGGGGCCTTTGCTTCTTAGTTCTTTAGTGCTGTGTTGAGTATTTTATCAAAATCCATTATTCCATAGCTCTTAGAGCAACTATTCTCCCAACTCACCCACCGAACCTGTCCTGATCCGGGGGACAGTTGAACAGGTTTCCTGAGGGAAGGAGTGAGAGACGGGACGAACGACACAGTGTTACAACTCTTCAGGGTTGTCCGGAGACGACGCGGTGTCACAGCTCCTCGGGGTCATCCGGAGACGACACGGTGTCACAACTCTTCGGGGTCTTCCGGAGACGATGTGGTGTTACAACCCTTCAGGGTCTTCAGGGTCATCTGGCGATTGTGGGCCAGGGATCGTGGTTATATACATGTTGGTGGGCAGGGATTGGTTGAATGAAGGATTGTAAAAGGTGGGTTATGATTGGTTGCTTTTGTGGACCAATCATGAGGTGTCGGATATGCAAATCTGAGGGATTCTAAGCTCACCGATTTGCTATGGGAAGTGGCCAATCAGAGTATGGTTTTGAAGGTGAGGTTTTAAAGGGGAGCCAATTGTGGCCTTTGGCATTGTGTAATTGTTTGCTTTCTGAGAAACCGAAACCTAAGGGTGATATTCGCTGGTGCGCAGCCTCCCACAGAACCAAACGCTTAACCCAAGTGGGCAGTGTTGTTCTACTGCATGTAGCCCCTAGAAAGGAAACTCAATTGAGCCTTCACACCAGAGAGCCGTGCCCCTGTTCTCTGTAGTAGTGTGCTCTTGAGAGCTCTTAATGTCTTTACTGTAAGAGGCATAAATGTTATCAAAAGACGGGGGATTCCCACACAGCCAACCATGGTTCGAGTCCTGGACCTGGTGGCTTGAAAAATCACTCCAGGTACATGTGTATGCATGCCCCAAATCCCGAAAAAATGGAGAAGGAATCGCAGCATGGCCATCCCCCCAAGAGGGGATTTCTCTTTTCCTCTAACAGGTGCACACACCCTATGGCAAAAACCTAAAAAACAAAACAAAAACAAAACCACAGACAGCTTCCCTGTGTGCATATAGTTGTGTGCTAGGGGAACATATATCACGAAACTGGGTTTAAAATTTGCCTCAGAATCTCCCCACAGTGACGTGAGTTGCCTCTCTGTATCTTCTTTGCCCCTGAAGTCACAGGGTGAGACTATGACCCGCCTACGTCCCCAGGCTCTGCCAGCAGCCCTCTGCCCCATGCAATCGTATAACAATACTGGCTGTCACATACAGCAGAGGGAGCTGGTCTCATTGGTGCTAATAAAATCATACCCAGGGCCTCCAGGTGGTGTGGTGGTTAAGGCAGTTGGACTCCCACATAGCTGACTACAGTTCGAGTCCCGGACCTGGTGGCTTGCTTTCACACTTTCCTTCTCTCTCTGGTCAACTTCAAAAATAAATACAAGGAGGAACCAGCAGTTAGCGTAATGGCTATGTCGCTGGACTCCCACGTAGTCGACCGCGGTTCGTGTCCCGGACCCGGTGGCTTAAAACTCACGCTGGGCGCGTGTGCGTGCATGCCCAAGATCCCGAGAGGAGAATGGAGGAGAAGGGATTGCGGCGTGACCATCCCCCCTGGAGGGTGATTTCTCGCTTTCTGTCTCTGTGTCTCTCTCTGTCTGGCGAGCGCACGTGCCCTACAGTGAAAATCTCTCAAAAAAAAAAAAAAAATACAAGGAATAAAATGAAATAATTCTTTAAAAAACGAAAACAAACCCACACGCCCTGTGTCGAGGAGGTACAGCATAACAAACGCCTGGATGGCAATACCGAACGCAGACACCGAAATCTCAAACGATTTCACCGATGCATACGGCACTATTCGCACTCAGGCCCACAGGTGTTCACAAGGCATTCCTTCACTCCTGGGCTGATGAAAATCCAAGTGAAATAAAAAAACAAACACGATAAAAATATAGGCATGAATTATTGCTTTATTGGTTTCTGGTTTCTTAATGCAAAGGTAACGTATTTGCTTAATGGTCATATGATGTCCAAAGTTCAGCATTATTTAATACTCCAACAGGAAAATAGGATGTGGAAAGAGGCTCTCAAGTGATAACTCCTCTACATTCTAGCTGGTGGAACCGGTCAGGAACAAGGCTACTGGACTTACATCTTGGTTTGCGGTGAAAACCACTCTCCTCCAACCCAGGGAGCAGGAAGGAGTCCCAAATTCAACCAATCCGTTTAGGCACTGGGGGTGTATGCTGGTCTCCCTTTGGAACAATGGGGAGATTCTTAAAGACTCCAGGTATGGGGAGCCTCCTTGCACCCGAGGCGTTAAAGACTCTCACTGAGAGTCTAAACGAACTCCTGTGGCATAGAAGGGGTGGTCGCTGTTTTACTGGACATGATTCTGCTGTCAAAGAAGCAACCTGTGGCTTCACAGCGCTTTTCTAGGAAAGCATTCCATTATGGGGCCAGCAGGTGGTATGGCGGTTAAGGCATTGGACTTCCACATGGCCGACTGCAGTTCGAATCCTAGACCTGGTAACTTGAAAATCATGCCGGGCGCATGTGGATGTATGTCCAACGTCCTAGGAGAATGGAGAAGTGATTGTGGTGTGGCCACCCCTCCACACCCCCCTGGGGGGATTTCTCACTTTCCCTCTCACTGTCTGTCTCTCTCCGGTAAGTGCACACACCCTACGGCAAAAACCAAAGCAACCCATTCTAAGAGTGCAAGGGAGAGCCCTGATGCAGTGCACAGCTGAAGCCAGGGCCAAGTATGAGCATGGTTTTGCTTGTTAAAGGCACAGAGCCCTCAGCACCCCGAGAAGGGGAGTCCCTGTGTTGCAGGTTACACCAAAAACGCACATCCTGCCTCTGAAAGTCAGGGCTGTCAGCTGCTGTCTGTGTCTCTTTTTCAGGGGCACCCCTGAAAATTCGGATATGCCCTGATCCTTCCATGAGGAATCAGCTTTCTGAGGAGAAGAGACCCAGGGGACCCACGGCTGCATCGCTTCGTACAACAGGCCAAAGTAAACACACAACTCAATGGTGTGGATGCGGGACTTTCACAGAGAAGGAAATAGCTCAGACCTCCACAACAGGTGGAGTCTGCAAAGAGGGCAACGTGGTCACAAAACATTTATCCCCTGCGACATGAGTCAATTGTATGTAAAGGGTAAGCAAAAATGTATGGAAACACTCTTTAGAAAAGAAAAAAAAAAAACCCAAACGACCTTAAATACCAAGGAGATATAGTGATCAAATTCGCTTAGTCCTGGTTAAGATGCCCAATGTCGACAAATCCCTTCCGATCCTTCCCGATAGTCAACATAGCGTCTGTAGCAGGAAAGGACAGTGGTCCTCGGCACTTCGCCAGTGACACGGAGCGAGCCGTCACACGGACCCTCTCTGACCCACACCTGGCCTGAGCGGCCACCCTGAGCTGTTCCAGCTTCCACCTCCGATGAATACCCTTCGCAAACACAGTGATACCGAGAAAAACATACAGGTGTATTTATTTAGTCCATGCCATCTAGAGCTACCGAGCACAGTAATCGGGACTGGAAAGAGGACGACTTAGAACCTAACACGACCACACACGCAGCGGCCGTGTGCCCCTGAACTGCAGGTCTGAGTTCAAGAACGTGCATGCCGACGAGCCCGTCTCCTCCCTGAGAAGCACGCGTCACGCTTCCTCCTCTCCTTTCATCATCTCCTGTCTCCCTCAGTTAAGGCCTGGACAGTGTCGGGATAGGGTCGCATCTCTCCTGCGAGCCATCAGTCGCCTGCGGGCTGCGGCTGCACACAGCCGGGCTGCAGCCTGCTCGGTCCTGCAGCCTGCCCGCGCAGCTCCTCGGCCTCCTGCAGCAGGGCGGAGCGCTCCAGCTCTAAGGCAAGGACCGCCTGCTTCAGCTTGCTCTCGCTGGTCAGGAGCTTCTCCACCGTGGCCTCGAGGCTCTGGATCTTACTGTTTGCCACCTGGAGCACAGAAGAAGAAATGAGGATGTAAGTGCCCACGATGACACGGGAGCGATTTACCGTGCAGTCTGCCATCCGGCCTGGGAGCGCTTTGGTAGAAACGAGTCTGTGGTTTTACCACCAGTTCTGGACAGCTATGACTACTTTGGAGGTCAGAGGCTGCGGTGGTGGCATTGCAACGGAGGGAACCCAAGTCTCCAGTCACCTGCCACAGGAAGCGTCAGGGAGAAGAGGCGGTGATGGGGGCACGATGGCGTCAGCTGTGCCCAGCTGCTGGGATGCGGGGCTTCCCTTGCAACCACAGCACAGCCGGGCCTGTCCGACTAACCCGTGTGTCTATGTGCACACGCCAATTTCACACCGACTGCCAAAATGATTTCTGCATGAAAGCCGGAGGAGTAACAGCGCTCTGATCGAAAGTCCTTTCTTTTTTTTTTTTGGAGAGATTTTTTTTTTTTTTTTTTTTTTTTAAGGGGGCGGGGGCCCCCC